ATGCAAATCAAATCCATTTTGAGCGCCATTTTCACTGGCAGAGGATTGCAGGAGGCCCTGGCAGTCAAAAACGGAGCCCGGGAGCCTGTTTTCACTGGCAAAAGCACCATGGGCCGGTCCTTCGCTGTTCCCAGGGCGGCCCCTTGGGCCAGATCTAAGTACCCCGTGGGCTGGATCTGTCCCCTGTGCTTTGAGTTTGACACCTCTGAGCTAGGACAAGAAGAGAGCCAGTTTGTATATTGTTAAGGCATCAGGCTTCAAAACCAAGAGATCGTGAGTTCTAATCCCATATGGCTGGTGACCTTAGACAAATTCTTAACCCTAAAAATCAGGGAAGGGCAAATTATTTCTGGGGGGAAAAAAAGTGTTGCCAAGAAAACTGCAGCCAATGTCCAGGCAATTGCCAGATGTCTGAAGGTCATAAACAAACAAGGAACAGCAAAGCACCTGTCTGTGGATGTTGTGCCAGATGTGTATGGTTTTATCTAAAACCAGATCTTTTCTTTGTTCCCCATTTCCTTTTCAAATGTACCTGTAAAGATATCTAGTTTATATAAACCTACTTGCTTCTTCCAGCCCATCCCTTTCTCTTGTTCTCCTCAACCTTTTATCCATTACACATAAGCATAATATTATACTACCCCTTATGCTATTGAAAAGAGATGATTTTGCAGAAGAATTCAAGGAATGGAGAGATAAATATCTCCAAATTCCAAACACTTCTTGTCAGTTTCCTTAATGTGGTCAAGTCAATCTTCTCTTCCAGCTTCAAATGATATATATGATATTCTTACAAACAAAACTTAAGAGAAGGGGAATTGAGGGCAGAGCCGGGATTTGTGCAAACCCGAACTGGTGTGATGGTGAACTTCTATGAGATGAAATGCTGCAATGGGCAAAAATGACACAGAATCAATAAATAAAACAGCTTGGCTTTTCCAAGCTACAGATGACATTTACCAAGGGGGAAGAATTGCACTCTCTAGAGAGACGAGCAGAAGGGTATATTAGCAAACCCATCAGTTTGAATCACATAATTTGGCCAGAACAGCTATAAAGAAAGAGTGGAACTGACAATAATTATATTGTTTATCTTTTTTGCTGACCCAAAGGATAGCTGTTCCTTTACGTCAATAGTAGAGAAAAGTTCCAATGGTAACTGGCTGTACTGTTTTACAACCACTTCAAGAACCCTTATCTGCATTTTACAATAGTGACGAATCTAGCTCTCTTTGTCATTCCACTAATTTCACTGGAGTAACTAAATGATATAGTAAACCTAGTAATAGATTTAAAGATAAGCAAAACTAATATTTTGGCTGCACTCACACCCATTGTAAATGCACATTTATGCTCTTTCCTTCTATCCAACTGCTACTCTTCAGATTTTCCAACTATCTGAACAGGTTGAACAAATCATATCTTAGAACTCATTATCCTAGCATTATTTACAAACTGAGATTTATTCCTCTGACAAGCAGCCCATCATTCTTTATGTTCTCTAGCTGGGGATCATACATACAAAGTTGAAGTATTTAAAACCATGGATTTTAAAGACATTATATTAGACATCCTCACATATAACAATGCATATCTTCATTGACCTTCTTTGGAAATAATATGAAGAGATTCACTACTGCCTTTTTCTAGGATATTTTCACCCTCTAAATCAAGGGTGTCAAACTCAAGGCCCACGGGGTGCTTAAATCTGGCCTGTGGGGCTAGCCTGGAAATAGCAAAGGATCTGCCCACGGTGCCTCAGGCAGCCAAAACACCCCCCCCATACCCCATTTTCAACCTGGATGGCCTCCTGCAGCATTCTGCCAGCCAAAATGGGGCGTGAAGGGATGCTGCAGGAGGTGTCTGTCCCATCTCCCCACCCACCCCAAAGCTGGTGGAGAACTACCCGGCCCTCAAAGAAATCCAGTTTGACATCCCTGCTCTAAATCTAGCCTAAAATCTTTGTATCTACCATATAAACACTAACCAGGTCCAACCCTGATTACTTTTTAAAGATCAACCAAGGTCAGTTCGGTGCTGCCATCTTGCACTACACTTCTTATACTGAGGTTTACAGTGCTCAATAGTTGGAATCATAGGAACATACTGAGACAAGATTTGGCAAGGCATTTTATAGCATACTGTGGGGTATGAATCTAGCCATTCCTATCTTCCCTCAATGCAAGAAACTTTTTCATGGCATACAAAAGTTTGGCACCAGACATTCCATGTTCTGGATTGCTCTGGGGCAAGTATCTTGATTGTGATTTGGTAATGACTGGTCAGGTGATGCTTCCGATTCATTTTAATGAATATGCTTACAGAAAAAAAAACTCAGAATCAACATGGAGTTGCCCCTGCCTCCTACATATATCATTTCAGAACACATTCTGAATACCAATAGAGTAAGGTCCTAAAAAGCAAACTGGGGAAGAACACTAGAGTTATAACAGCCCTAATTTGTGACTTGCTGTCTTTTGATTTGAGAGTCAATGGAAATAATTTATAATTTTCATCAAAATGCTGTCCCACTCACTGCATTATGTTCCTGCCATAACACTGTTTCTGTAAACCTCTCACTTGTAGAGGAATAATGACCTAGAGATTAATTAAGGCACCAGGCTAAAAACAGGGAGATTGTGCTGTGGCCGCGCAGTGGTTAGATTCAGTACTGCATTATTGCAGACTAATTCTGCCAACTGCTAAGAGTTTGATTCTGACCGGTTCAAGGTTGACTCAGCCTTCTATCCTTCAGAGGTCGATAAAATGAGGACCCAGATTGTTGGGGGCAATATGCTGACTCTGTAAACCACTTAGAGAGGGCTGTAAAGGACTACAAAATGTTATATAAGCCTAAGTGCTATTGCTATTGTGAGTTCTAGTCCTGCTTTAGGCATTAAAGCCAGCTGGATAACTTTGGGCCAGTCCCTTTTTCTCAGCCCAACCTAACTGACAGGGTGGCTGTTGTGGGGAAGACAGGAGGAGGAAATAAAATAGGTACGCCCCTTCGGAGAGGGGCAGCATACAAATTGAATTAATAATACATTTACTGCTTTGAGTAATTTATAAAATAAAGGCTGGATATAAACACTAAATAAACATTTTTGTATCTTCCGCACTAGGATTTCATTATGACAGCAGATATGATGAATGCCACCCCACCATATCATGGTAAAAATTAGAGGGATAGTAGACAAGAATGCCTATACTAGACTAATGGCTGTTCATTGATATTTCCCTTTAAATCAAGCCAGAAGGATTTGAAACTTCCAAGATTTACAAAAGTCTTCCCAATGTAATTACAAGCGCAATTTGCATATTGTCAACTCCATTAGTAGGTAGTCCACTGGTCATTCTAATTTGTCTTCCAAGATTTACCGTAGTTGCAGGGCTGGTGCAAGTTATTTGCAGCCTGAATAAGTTGTCAACTTTTCCAGTTTACAAATTCCCCTGTTGTCTTATTTTAACACTGACAACAGGACATACTATTTTACTATATCTGAACATTACAAGCTAATTTGGGGGGGACTGGGAGACCACCTTGTCCTTGGTAATCTTGTTCTTGTCGTTACCCACTCCCTGCTACTCACTCTGGATGAACCTGCCTCACTCTCTGTAATAGTAGGTCCATCTCTGTAAATAGGGTTTCAAAATTGTGGTTTGCTGCATTCCTGGCAAATTGGCTTTATCTGTTATATAGATCAATTCCTCTCAAGGTTCTAGGCACACTCTTAAAAACATTAAAAATTTTATCAGTATGATGTAATATTAGAGAAATAAAAACTAGTAATATATAATGTCATAAATCACTCACTGAAATACATTTTTCAGCACTTGGTTAACTCTCTTGACAAACACACTTTCTTTAGCAATTGCAGGATCTAAGTTGACATTCAGCAATCCCCAATTTTGGGACCTTAGGATGTGACTTAATAACAGAGTCCATCCTCTCCTGGTATGGCATTTCTCAGATTTGCTGGACTGCACATTGATCATGCTTCCTGGCAACTCTGTGAATTACCTGGAGATGGAACCGAAACAGATAAACCTGTGTTACCTGTCAGCTTCACTACTATAGAACCTTACTTTGCCCACCAACCCAGGTGACAGGCAAACCTAATTTCTCTCTCTCTCTCTCCCACGCTATTTGATGACCTCTTTCCAAAGCTTCTTCAAATCTTCTCACCCCTTAACAGCAGAAAAGTGTTAAGACTCTTCTTGTTACCAATTAGTACCTTGTCTATGCCCAAAACATAAACAAAGCTTACAGTCTGTCGAGATTCTGAGTCATCCAGGTCATGACTGTCCCACAGGTACTTTTCCAGGAGGCAACTGGACTTTCTTGTTTTTTCTTTTGAAGACGTTCCGCTTCTCATCCAAGAAGCTTCTTCAGCTCTGTCAGGATAGTGGGGAATGGAAGGATTGGTATTGCTTGCTACCCTCTAAAAGGATGCAGACCAGCTGTCTGCAAGGAATATTCCTATTCCATCAGGTGGGCTTGGCCTAATCTCTTCCCTTTTTAAATATGTAAATTTTAATCTGTTTTTAAATTATTGGGGTGTTTTAATCTGTCTGGGCCAAAATGATTTAATTTGATTTAATTTGGTTTTTAATTTTTTTTGTATCTATGTATTTTATTGTTTGGCTGTTCACCGCCCTGAGTCCTTCGGGAGTAGGGCGGTATACAAATCAAATAAACTAAACTAAACTAAATCCTTCCATTCCCCATTATCCTGACACAGCTGAAGAAGCTTCTTGGATGAGAACGTCTTCAAAAGAAAAAACAAGAAAGTCCAGTTGCCTCCTGAAAAAGCACCTGTGGGATAAACAAAGCTTTCTTCTCTACCGATCGCAGCAAGTTCTACTACAGTACTGCACCTCGGATTGGAAGGGAGGGGGGGGAAGAGAGATCTGTCCATCCCACCTCCGCTTGATCTCTATGCTTCCTGCACAGCGACGTTCTTGTTTGCCTGCTTCCCCAGCTCGCCCCGCCGCCTCACCTTCACTCCTCCTGTTCAAGGCCATGGGTCCCAGAGAGGTGCACAAAAGCAGCAAAGCCTCACAACCCTCGCAGAGGGGGAATCATAGCGCCCGGTTGAAATACAGCCCTCCACGTTCTCCTCCTCCTCCTGCTGCTGCTGCTGCTCCGACCCACTCCCACCTTCCTCTTTCCATCCGGGTGTATCTAATCTGCAGAGGCCCTGGCTTCTCATTGGCTCTTGCTGTGAAGGGGGCGGTCCTTACGCTAGCGTTCCAAGGGGCGGGGAAGACCTCCCTTCTAGGGCTGCCTGGCCGGGGACTGAACCGCGCCCCGCCTGCCGAGCTCTGGAGGGGAGGGTAAAGGGAGGCCGTGCGCGGCTGCGCAGAACGGTGAGAATTCCGCCTCGAGAGCGGTTCGGACAGCGGCAGCAGCAGCAGCGAGCGAAGCCGCTTTGCTCACAGCGCGCCAAGCCGCTTTTTACGGAGCAGCCGGACAGCGCCTGGATCGCGACAAGGGAACTTATCCAGCGGCGCCGTTTTCCCGAATGTGTGGCGGCCGCGCGCGAGTCTATGAGACAAATACACCCGGGGGATAATGTTCATTATGCATACTTCTCTGCCTCTTTTCTTCTTCTTCTTCACCTTCACTATTGCCACCACTGTTACTGCCACTACTATCCTTCACCTGACTCGTTGAACGCAGCATGCAACTCACTATACGCTAAATGAATAATGCACTAGAATGTCCGCGCTGAAAAAGGTAAGCGGGCAGCCAATGAGCAAGACCGCCCAGGACCCTCGTGTGGTGGTACTGGTTTGGGGCGGGGGCAGGAGGGGGCATTTAAGCTTACCCCTCCACACACAAACACACACACACACAAATACACACCTTCAGTATACCTTTTGCCGAAGCTTTAAAACCTGCAAAGCTGAGCAAAGATGTTTGGCCGGCTGTGAATTAGCGCTGCAAACTCTAGGAGTGTGTGGATTTCGGGGAAGAGGGTGGTGGTGTCCGAGGTGGAGATGGAAAGAGCTGGTAGGATTAAGTCAATTGGGGGGGGGATTATTAAGAGGGAAGCGATGCCATTGATGGTGCTGCGGTTGGGGTTTGCCTCGGCGTGGTGGTTCTGAGCGGGGTTTGTAATAGTTATTGGGGGGACAGAGGGGGTTCACCTTGGACCACTGGAGTCAAAAGCCTGGAGGCTTGTGGGGGGGGGGGGTGGTGTCTTTCGGCTCGATTTTTTTTTCTACGAGTCTTTCGACGTGGGGAGACGATGCTCGTGGGCTGGGGTAGCATCTGTTGCGGAGGCTGTTTTTTTCGGGAAGGGGACGATGGTAGGGGAGACGGAGTTGAGGAGAACGGGAGTTTTCTGTGACAGCTGCGGTTATTTCGGTCACGGAAGGGAGGGGGACTACTGCGTGGGAACAGAGCCACTATCGGCGTCGGTGGTGTTGAGAAGCGGGGTTACAGTGGCCGTCCCTCGCTTACTCGACGACATCGATACACTCGTACGAGCTGGCGAACGGGGTGGGGGGATGGGGTGGGGAGAGGTAGGCTTAAAGCACCTAGAATCGATACTAAGGATGGCAGAGAACTATTGGGGTGACAGAATGAGAGTTTTAAGTCCCCCGTCTCTTCCTTGTGGGGACCGAAATCCCGATCCTGGAGATGCTTGTAGAAGGGTGGGACAGAAACCAAGGATGAATTGGGGGGACTGATGGGGAGAGCGACGGCATGTGGAAGCGCTGTCAGAAAGCGCGAGGGAAGAAATTCGGGGCGGGTGGGGGGAAGGCTCTTTACAAAAGGGAAGGATCGGAGGACCAGACGCGACGGCGTCTTCCCAAAAGCCGGGCTCAATTTGGGCAAACGAAGTGTCGAAACGACGGCGGCGTCTCTTTGGGGGCGAGGGAATACTTTCTCAGAAATAACCGGGAAGGTCCTGAGGATGCCCTCCCCCCGTTTCTGAGGTGGCCTCCACCGTCCAGATGTAGCCCTCGGAAACGACTGAGACTGCGGCGAGCGTCTTCCGATCTAAGATGGGAGAAAGACCGAGGACGCGCTTGGGGAGCGGGAACAAGCGCGTAAAAAACGGCGCTTCTGGAGAGGCTAGAGGAAAAGGAGAGGATCCCGCTTCCGCGGAAAGTGCCGGGACGAAAGGGACGTGTCCGCCGGCGCGATCTCTTGTTCTTTTGGCTGGGGCGACCGCCGTCCAAGTATCCCTTCGGTGGAGCTCCGCGCCTGTAGTGCGGCGCCGTCCGCTGCTGCGGAGGGCTGCGGACTGGCGCTCGCTTCACCTGCTCGTTCCCGAGCGCTGGAGGCAGCGAGGCTCTCTAAGCCGCCAAGAAGCGCGCGGGGTTTCCCTCATGAGGCTCTGTCGGAGACCTTACAAACACTCCGCGAGGACTGGGGGGGGGTGTCTTTGAGACCCCGTTTGGCAAACTCTGGCGGGTTCAGATAAGGGGGCGGCGAATTAACATTGTGCGCTTGGACCCAAGCAGACTGCTCCCCACCGCCGCTGCCCCCCGCAGATGCCCTCTCGATTTCTAGAGTCCTGGAAGTGTGAGGAGACCGCGGACCCATTTCATTGTTTCCTTAGAGAAGTAAAGAGCGAGCGCTCATTCCGCCCGTTAAATCTGCGAGCAGGCGGGTTACTTTGAGAGAGAGAGGGGGGAAAAAAACCGACCCGGAGAACAACAGAGGCTACTGGGGTACAGTGACGAACCGCCTCGTCTTTCTCCTCCGCTCCCTCCAATACGACGCCTACTAGTCCCGAGGCGAGGCCAGCGAGCGGCAGAGGAGTTTGAGGGAGGTGGAAGGAGAAGCGAGGACGGCTGTAAATAGGGACGCGTCGTGGGCTGCTTTCCCTTGGAAGAGTCTCGCGTGGAAGGCAAATACCCCACGTTCCTTAGGTAGAGATTGGTGCCCGGTGCAGAAAGGCCGACCGCGAACGCGAGTCGCGCTGCCTCTGAGGTGAAGTGAGGCGAGGCGAGGCTCCCACCCGCCTGCCTTCTGCAATGGCCCATTTCGTGCCAAACGAACTTCCAAAGCTATTCCCCCCACCTCCGGAGTTTAAGACACTGAGCAAAAGCTATAGATCTGTTCCTTGTTAAATTCTGCACCAGGTTGGATGACACACATAATCAGGATTTGAGAGTATATTTGCTTATTTGTGCCCTATGACTATCATTAAGTGTTGTACCTTACTATTCTTGATGAATGTATCTTTTCTTTTATGTACATATGCACCAAGACAAATTCCTTGTGTGTCCAATCACACTTGGCCAATAAAAAATTCTATTCTATTCTATTCTATATTCCCCAGTGCAGGTAGTCTTTGATTTAGGACCACAATTGAGCCCAAAATTTCCATTGCTAAGCAAGATGGGCTATTAAGTGAGTTTTGCCCCATTTTATAACCTTTCTTGCCACGGCTGTTAAGTGAATCATTGCAGTTGTTAAGTTAGTAGCACAGTTAAATGAACCTGGCAAAAGGTGATTACATGAACCCTGGACACTGCAACCGTCATAAATATATGCCAATAAAGGAGAATATTTGTAGCCCAGGGTTGAAATGAGGGGCCTTTGATGCTGACTGAGCTTGTTTTATTTTCTTGCAGACATTGCATTACCCAAACTAGGTAATATCATCATTGCTAGTAAAGAGACTATTAGCACTGATGACATTATCTAGTTTGGGTAATGAAATGTCTGCAAGAAAATAACCAAGCTCAGAGAGCACCAAGGACCTCTCAAATATATGCCAGTTGCCAAGCATCCAAATTTTGATCATGTAATTGTGGGGTTGCTGCAACTGTTGTAAGTGTGAAAAATGATCACTTGTTTCAGTGCTGCTGTAACTTCGAGGAGTCGAATAGTTGTAAATTGAGGACTACCTGTACTTGCCCTTTATGTAAAAAAAAGTGAAGTGTAAACTGCTGGGAGCGAGAATGGAGAGGGTGAGCCACTGCACTCCCCCCACCCCCCCACCCGTCTCCTGAATTAGATGGCTGCTTTGGATTCCATCCCATGAAATAGGTACTTCTTTCTCCTACAAGTGACAGGACATGGAGTTGTTGCAAGCTCTGTTTGTAGAGGTTCTTGGGAAGAAGGGCTTGCCTATAGTTGGATGGATTAGTTAAAAATGGAAGAATCAAGAGTGTGAGTAGTCCTGGAAAAAGTCACTAAATTCATATTGTAGCTGTCATATTATTTTGTGATGATGTCAGTGACTTGACATCAAACACTAGGCCACTTATATGCATTGGCTTTTCCGATGTGGTGGATCACATTTAAGAGATCCTGAAAAGTTGGCTTAATGAACAAACCACTGGCTCATTTTCTTTATTCAAATTCTCAAGTGTATTCTCATAAAGATGAGTTGAATAATGCCATTTTGTTGTGCTTAGTTGGTATTGGTTTTCTTCCAGTTCTAAACTGATAAGATCTTCTTTAGGACTTAAAACATTTATATAATCCTGGTGGACTATCATATTCACCTGGTGGGTTGTCTGACACCTTGGATATTGACATTTAATATCAAATAAAAACTTATTTCAGACCCTGAACAATAGCATCAAACATTGTCAGTCATCAATATTCTGTCTGAATACAAACCATTCACTTCAGACTATTCATATGATTATTAGTTCCTTTCTGAAAATTATGGATGCAGCCTTGATCTCATTTGAATCTGGAGGTAATCTGCTATAAAGGGAATTGGTATTTTATCATTTAGGTAAACTCTATTTGCCCTGAAAAAGAAATCAGGACAAAATAGCACTGATTGATATGCAGCTCTTGCTAAGCATTTTCTCACATGAAAATAAAAAAATAAATAAAGTGATATGCAGATGCATCTGTATAGTTTCCTTTTCCGCCAGTGGGTTTAATATATTTAGGCTATAAATAGTAGATATGAGAGCCAGTTTGGCATAATGGTTAAGGCACCAGGCTAGAATGCAGGAGACCATGTGTTCTACTGTAGTAATGCCTTAGTCATGAGATCAGCTGGGTGATCTTGGGCCAATCAGTCTCTATCAGCCCCAGGAAATAAGCAATGACAGGCCTCTTCTGAAAAACTTTGCCAAAAAACTGCAGATTTCTTCCTGACTTGAAGGCACAAATACTATATAAGAGTATCAAAGGAAAAAGTAGGGTCTCAAGGAGTATAGATCTATGGTAAACAGTATGACCAGCTGAAGCTATAATATGAAAACATCCCTTGTGAGTTCTGCAATAGCAATGCCTACTGGGTTATATCCATAATTTACTAAGCAACAATACACACTTTTGAAAAGAAAACTATCTGCAACTTTGAAAGTGAAAGAAAGGAATGCTCCAATTCTGATAATCACAGCCTGTCACTGATTGCAAGGAATATTCCTGTCCTGGTCCATCATCAAAAACTAGAGACGTATACTGGAGATATCAGTCTGAGTCATCTTTCCATTCTAATGCTACATGGCCCTAGTTTGGTGAAGCATATGCATTCTTTAGTCATCCTTACCATCTATGGCATTTCTCAATCATCCAGGTCATGGTTATCCCAAAAGGCAACTGGACTCATCAAGAAGCTTCTGTTTTACAATACTCTTGCATGGCATGTGAAATGATTTCAAACAAAAGGAAAAAAAAGCCAAGAAAGTCCAGCTGCCTTTTGGAAAAAGCACTTTGGGTCAGTCATATTTATCCACCACAGATAGCTGATAGAGGGGAAAGCCACAATGTTTTGCTTTCTTTTTTTTTAAAAAAAGTTTTTG